GAAAAGGAAGAAGTCAAATTATCATTATTAGGCTATTAAAACTAGATCAGCATCTTTCACCACATGCTAAACTAAAATGAAAATGGATCAAAGATTCACATATTGAAACAGAAACACTTAATCTGCAGGAAGACAAAATAGGTAAAACTCATGAAGAAACAGGTATAAACAAGTACTTTCTGAATAGAACTCCAGTTGCATGAGAAATAATACCAAGAATGAACAAATGGGATCATATTAAACTTAAACCTTCTATATAAATAACAGAATATTCAACAGAATGGAGACAACCTATAGAATGGGAAAAATTTTGCCAGTTGCTCTTCAGACTAAGGACTAATATCTAGAAGATTTCAAAAGAATCCAGACCTCCAAATTGAAAGACTCAGTAAAAAATTGGTGTCTGCAATGAACAGACACTTCTTAGATGTAGAAAAGCAGACATTAAATACATAAAAAGTTGTTCAGCATCACTTGACAATGAAGAAATATTCTTTAAAACAACACTGAGATTTCACCTCACTGCCAAAAGAATGGCTATTTTCAAGAAATCAAAAAAAACAAAAACAAAAACAAAAACAAAAACAAAAACAAATGTTGGTGAAGCTGTAGGGAAATAGAAACACTTCTCTATTGCTATTGTAAGTAGAAACTGCTACTCATACTATAAAAGGAAGTATGGAGAATTCCCCTTGATCTAGCTATTGTCCTCCTAAATATCTTCCAAAAGGAATTAAAGATATCTTGTGACATCGATATGTTCCCACCCACATTATTGTCACAAAACTCACCAGCGGTAAATCTTGGAAACTTCCTGTATATCCATCAACAGATAAATAAAATGTGGCAATTATGTATTATAGAGTTCTGCATGTACTTGAAAAACTGTATATTCTGTCACTATTAGATGAAATGTTTTGTATGTTTATTAGATTCATTTAGTAAAGGTATTCAGATTCAGCATTTTCTTATTGGTTTACAGTTAAGGATAGATAAACTTGAGTCACAAAGAAGGATGAACTTGAATCATTTGTAGGAAAATATATGCACCTTGAGATCATAATGTAAAGTGAAATAAATCAGACACACACCCAGAAGTATTTCTTGGTTTCTATTATGTGAGAAGCCTGAAACATAAATAAAGAACAAAAAAGATAGATAATAGGAAGTAGGGAGATAGATGAAAGGAATCAAGAGATGGAAGCAGGAGGTAGGGAGAGGTTAAGGGGATGATCAGAGGAATTAAGATGTGTTATGTGCTTGGCTCAGTTCCTCACAAGGAATGTAAACACTGTGTACTGCAAACATAGGCGAATCAAAAAATCAGAATGGATAAAAACCCAAATGTTTTGTTTTATTTCTTTTGTCATTCAAATGAATTATAATATCTTGAAGCTCAAAATCTTGTAATTTAGGCTTAGAGGGCAAGAATTGTTTTATACATGCTGGTATTGAATATTTCTGAATTCTGTGCACAATTTCTTGCTCCTTTGTAGGCGATGAAAGATAAACATTTTTCACTGTGTTTATTCTCATCAGACTTTATTCAAAATCAAATATGGAAAGAAAAATCAAAATTTCTCTTAAACATTTAGCTTTGTATTCAAATAAAAAAGGATATTGAGATATATATCAACCAAATATCCAAAAAATATCACTTCCATACTATGCCATTTTATATATGATAATATATCTTTTCTCTTTCATATCACATGAGTATATATCAGATAAAATTTGTAAGAGAAGACTTCTCAGCTGGCGTTGGCTGGTGCTCTTTATACCCAGGGTTCCCTACAATTTCCTTTTTCCTGTATTGGGTGGTGCTGAAGATCTGTAGGAATTTTTAGGAACTAACTTAGAAGTTGTATTAGAGATATGTTTAAAGGGTAGACTTATGTGTATGGCACTTCCTATCCAATTATACTCTTTTTTAAGTAGATAGAAGTCACTCTGTGCAAATTACTTTCAAGAGTTCTGCTACCTACTTTCCTACTGCACCCCACATGTGTCACAAGGGCATAGTGCCAGAGAGGTTATCCTACGGTGAGTTTGTCCTGCATCATCCAGCACTGTGTGACAGTAGAGACTAAGAAAACAATTTCATATGATTGAGCCAGATCTAGTCTATAGGAAACAAAAACATTACAGAAGTTTATTAGGTAATAAAATAGTAAATGTAATTATTTAGACATGAACTGTGTAATATTTGTGATTTTGTTGGTGTTATTCTTTTTTATTTTCACATAATAATGAATTTATAATTTTATATTTACATTGAATTATTTTTCTTACCTTTCAATATTGAATGAAGACCAGGCTCTTGAAACCTAGACCCCTTTGAAAGACATGAGAATAAACCCTTCATGGACTCTATACTGGGTTAATCAGATATAAAATTTTTAATGATTTGCTGATAAATGTGTCTCTCTACCACCCTTTCCTGCTAAGATTTTCTGTGAAATTTTCAGAGAAAATTCTCATTGTTTGTTGTATATAGGTTTACACACTTTTATTTGCTTATTTACTTTTCATTTATTAGTACATTTTATATATACATAATGATGATATTCATCACAATGTGTTTGTATCTGTATATGATGAATTTTGCTGCTGCTTTTTTTCCCATTCCCCTCCTCTCCCTTCAGCCCCCTTTCCCCTCATTATTTAAAAAGGCTTTGACAGGGCTGGCCAGAGAACTCAGCAGACTACAGCACCTGCTTAGGCAGAGTGCAGCGGCGGGGGTCTGATCCCTGGAATGCTGTGCCGGGCCCCGCCCCAGGGATACGTTGAGGTGATTAAAACTGGGCATGGTGGCCCAGGACCTGGAATCCCAGCACTTGGGAGGCTGAACACAGGAAAATCACTATGACTCTGATCTGTGTAGTGAGATCCTGTAGACACTGTCTTAAATACATAAAATATAATAAAAAATGCTTTGACATTTAAAATTGATGGCATGCTTTCATTTGTATTAACCATTACTACTCCTATACAGTTGTATATTTGTAGAGGGCCAAATATTTGTAGAGGGCCAAATTTGTAGAGGTGGTGTTATCTCACCACCCTGAGAAGGTAGATGAGTACAGAGCTTATTTAAACAGAATGTTGGTCCCACTTCAGATGGTTTCTTTCTATTTCATTGTACAAATGCAACTATTACAATTGCCGTGTCCCCCAAATGGGACCTGTGTTTTAATTATAAAATGGAGCAGCATAATGATGGTGGAAATATATGTAGATTATTGTATATGTCTTAGAAATGAGCAGAGGCTGAACATCTTTATATTTAGCAAGGAAGCTAATTTTAATTCCGTGGCTTTACTTAGCTATAAATCATTTGAAGCGCTTTAAATACTGAATCACCATACAGGCAAGGACGTACTTTTGTTTATAAGGCAGTGTGATGGGGCAATACTGTAGGTGTTTTCAAAACTGCCTCTGCTGTAATTAACCAATTAGTGGTTAGATGCAGGCATAATTTTGCATTTCTCCAAAAGTCTCACCTTGACTTTGAATTCATCCCTGGGCCCCCTTTCTGCTGAAAGAAATGAACAAAGTTAGCTTTGAGATATTAAGTATAATTTGGGGGCCAGCATGTAACATTTATATGTTTTGTAGTCTTCTAAAATGACTTTTTGGACTTTTATTTATTTTTTTCTGTGCCATGTACCCTCTGCTATGTTTTCTGAAAGTTCCATAGCCAGTGCTCATGTGGGGAATCATAGCAGAGGAACCTGGGAATAATTTATCAGGTCTTGTGTGAACCCTTCCTTTCTTCCTTCCTTCCTTCCTTCCTTCCTTCCTTCC